TCAAATTAAATATAAAATAAATGACTGTGCTTAATAAGTGATCGAGGTAAATATAAATAACAATCGAGTTAAAAGCATAAAAAAATATATATAGAATGCCTATAACATATACAAAAAAACTTTCGCATATATTCTGCTTTTTACCTTATATTACTTTTCATTTAATATTTTGCTAATAGAAGATTTAATCATATCTTCTGATGATTCTATACCTAATATTTCTGTACTAATTGATATTGATACTGAAATAATTAGTAAAAAGTATTCCACTAAAGATCATTAGATAGTAGGAACTTATAATAGTCAAAATATTATGAGATATCAGCATTGTCAAGACAAGATATTTTTAATAAATACTAGCAAAAGTTATTTAAAAATCTATACTATATCATGTTCATATTCTTCACTAAGTATAGTTGAAGATAATAAATTTAAACTAGTTACAAAAGAAGATATTGATAACTCAATCATCAATTTGGTTATTAGAATGGGCATGTCTTTTAATATTTTTAATAATCCATTATTTTATAAAATAGTAAAAAAACTTCACAATGTTACTAATTGTACAAAGTTCTATATTCAACAACCGTATCAAAACACCTTACTGGTAATTTATTCAATAAAAGATTCAAGTTTATCAAAAATATATTAGCATCATTTTTTGGACGAATTTCATTAACCTGTGATGGATGGTATTCTACAGTTTATAAATACTATTATATTGTTATTACTGGTTTCTGGATAAGCAAAAATTGGAGAATAGCTAATATTGTTTTAGATTTTAAAAAATCTAAACAAACAGCAAAAGACATAACATCAATAATAATAAACATATTAGAAAATTATTCTATTAAAGAAAAAATTTTGCATTTATAATAAACAACATCATGACCAATAAAGCAATAAGTTAGCTAATTCAAAGTGAGTTACCAAATATCGAATTATTATCTATAGGTTTGATTTATTTTAATTTTTATTTTAAACTTTTGTTAAAAAATACACTATACACTTAGTACATCCCCATATTATTTTTTTTTAGAATGTATGTGTCATATTCTTAATTTTATTATTAAAGAGTTTAAAAGAAATAAGTCTATTATATATAAGATTCATAAAGTAATAAAATATCTGGCAAATCCTTTAACAAGTGGTTAGTTAAATGTATTAAAATCATATTGTGGAGTTTATAGAATACATTTTTTTGCATCCAGTTCTTGAAGTCAATATGCACTAAAACTTCACATTAGTTATATTTAAAAGATATCTTCATTTATATCTAGCAATTTATGAAATATGCTCAAAGGATCTCTTAATTAGAGATAGAAATCGATTTAGTTGATGAAAAAATTTTTATGTAAATTACTATATTTAGTCAATTTAGTTAACTAAATCATATAGCCGATTTCTATCTCTACTTTTAATACTGTTATGTTTGGAAAGTAAAGATTTGTTAGATCTTAAATCATTTTGTCAGCTCCTCAAGCTATTCGAATCTGCTACATTAGTTCTTTTGAAAAATCAATCTAATTCAATTTTAGATGCTATAACAGTAATCTTAGAAATTGCATAACATATTAATAAGGCTGAAAAATCAATCTAATTCAATTTTAGATGCTATAACAGTAATCTTAGAAATTGCATAACATATTAATAAGGCTAAAAATCATAACAACATAATTTAATTAATGAAGAAAAAATTTGAAAAGTATTGAAGTATAATAATTGATCATGTTATAATTGCACATATGCTTAATCTCAGATATAAGTTCGAGCATTTGAGAGAAATATTAGTTGATGTTGGTGGATATAGCACTAGTGCTGCAGAACTATTTGTTAAGAATATTTGGTGAAAAATTATTTCATACAGGGCTAAATATAATAATATAAATATTATAATTAGAAAATTCGATTTTTGCCCAAGTTAAAGTTATTTAATAAATTATAATATTATTTATATAACTAAATTATAATATTTCAGGTAACTTTAACTAGGTAAAAATAGAATTTTCTATTATAATTTGTCTGATTTGTTAATATACAGTATACTTAATAACTTTGTTATATCTTTCAGAAACATATTTTTTAACAACTATTAAAACTAATGACAATAATTCTAGATCTGATTTATTATTTCCTATAAGATGAACTTCAAAAAAACTATAATTTACTATAGATACGATTGAGTATGAGCTAGAGTTATATAAAAAAGAGCCTCTTGAAGACATCAATTCTAATAATAAAGAAAATGATAAAGTCTTACACTAGAAATTATTATTAAATAGATTTTCTATCTAAGTAAAATAGCATGTGATTATCTCTATATTAAGCCCACAAGTGTTTCAAGTGAGAGAGCATTCTCAAGAGCTAGTTTCACAATTACCAATAATAGAGCAAATCTTAATAAAAAAACTGTTACTTATACAATACTTATGCACTCATGGTTAGTAGAAAGCCAAAGAGAATTCAGTCCTCTCAATTCTCTTTCAAAAGTAAATTAATTTTTACTACTGCTATGTATGTATGTAAGTAGATAGACAATTTATGCAGTATATAGATCAATATATACTATATATTAGTGTTGAAAATTCAGCTATACAAAAAATTTTTATATATAAATATTATTCTATTTTTTTTGCATAGCGAATTTTCAATATTAACTATATACGTACGTATATATGTATATTGTACATAAATATGTATTTTTTTACTGTATCACCCAAATAAGAAAATTTATAAAATAAAATTAAAAGAAAAATTAAATATGTACTAGTATAATATATATGGCTTAATATTTACTTTTACTTATTCTCATAGTTTAGTAATTAAAACCAAGTACTAAAATAATTTACTTTGCAAAAATATTGTTGTTTAGTAATTACAAAATTGATATAGTCACGATTTTCTTCAAATAATCATGATTGGGTAATGTACAGGTAGTAATGAAAATGTGTATAAGCCTTAAGTTACATGAGTGTAATAGAGCTAAGTAGATGCTAAGGCTTGGGTTATTATGAATCCTAATATTTGTTAATTCATCATTTTTGTTTATTTTTATATCTGAAGATTCATACTAGTTTGTTAAGGTGTAATGACTAGAAGTGAGCTAAAGCTTAGAAAAAGGTTGAAAGGAAGTAAGGCAGAGTAACTAGATAATAGAAAAGCTTAGGTAGAAGAATAAAAAATAATTAGAGAGTGTATGTAAATCATAGGATGCTTAGTGAGATGTATAGTTCTAGTCAAAGTAACTTGTACAAGCTTTTTTTATTGAAATTGAAAGTATAAAAGAGCTGACTTTTCGCTCTTCAAATAAAGCTTTAGACTTCAATGTCTTTATATAGGAATATTAAGAATTGATTTCTCAATTGTTGTTATAAGTTTATCATCACATTGTTGTATTTATTGTTATTTTCTTATCTTAACCGTGAAGGTTCTTCATGATCGTATTATACATTTTATTATTACCCTTTGTTTTATTAGGCATATTGCATATGTCATTCACCTTGAGGACATTGATGTCCGTGAAACATGTCATCTATAGTATAAACTGTTTTGATCTAGGTTTGAACTTGTTAAATTAATTACCTGATTGATTACTGGTAGATATAATTAAGTACCCCGATCTTAGATCAATTACGTAATACCACGTGCACAAAAAATATCCCTGTTCTAAAATAAAGAAAATATAAGTTAACTATTGGAGCTAGATTGTGTCGATATCATAAAAAGCTCTCCCAAACAATAGTAACAATATCATAAAATTCTTATACATATTACTCAATACTATCGGTTTTTTAAATAATGCAAAAATTATTCAAGTACAAAAATATTTTTGATTTCTGATTTTTAGCTTCTATAATACAATGTGATTTTAATCACTATTTAGCATGAAAAACGTAAGTGCGCCATAATACCTCCTCGAACTATAATACCCGACCTTCCCTTATGAAATATTAATTTGTCGCTTTATAAAAATTTTAACAAATAAGTATAATTCCAGAATCTTGAATAAGGTCAATCTGGCATTTTAGGTCAGATATAGAGTACTCGTTATGAAAAAAGATCGTCGTTGAAGCAGCTCAGCTCAATTCTGCTGTATTAAAATTTATTAATTTAAAATATAATTTGGTAACTAAAATTTAAGTTTGGCGACCAAATTTTGGAATTGGTGACTGAACTTTTTGGTCTAATTTCATAAATTCGCCGTGATGTAATGTAACTAAAGTTCCAAAGCTTCAAAAATGATAAAGTAGAATCTAATTTCATAAATTCGCCGTGATGTATAGTAACTAAAGTTCCAAAGCTTCAAAAGTAATAAAGGAGAAGGTAGTACTATATTTTTTTGATCATAATAATTTGATGTTGGACATTGTTATGAAAATGGTGTTGGAGTTAAAAAAGACGAACATAAGGCACTAGTTATTGTAATTAATTAAATTAATGATTTATTAAACTTTTAGATCCTGATTAAAATATTTAGATCCCGTGAACTCGAATTAGAAAATTCGTGACATAACATAATGAATCTCAGACAAATTTTTTCAGACCACAATTAGAGAAAAGTATCTATTACTTTTAAGCACAAAAGTACTTATAGGTGCGAGGTGTCTAGTACTTTTAATCAAAAATAATTACCTGTAGGCATATAAGTGCCTAGCGCTTTTAAGCCAAATAAGAAATGTACATAGGTATAAAAATGCCTGCCATTTTTAAGCCGGGCACAAAGTATCTATAGGCACAGAAATGCCTGGCATTTTTAGACCGCCTGTGCCCGTGCTTATGCCTGTGCCGGCCAACCCTTAAGCCAGGCACAAAAGTGCCTAGAGATATCAAAATGCCTGGCATTTTTAAGCCAGGCGCATCTTATTCTTAGGGCACAAAAATACCTGGCATTTTTAGATCAAAAAAAAAAAAGCCTGTGCCCATGCCTGTGCCTTAAAATTTTTTATTAGTCATGGGCACGTGCCAGGCTGCAGATCCCTAGTGATGATATGCTTAAGCCAATGACAGACGTTGAGATTAGAGGTAACTTACTTGACGCTTTCTTAGGTGGTGTTGATACTGTAAGTATTAATAATTTTAGAAAAATTAATATTTCAACGCAAAAATATTATGGGTAATTAATATCTATTAATTACGTTTATCTTTAAAAATTTCATAGGCAACAAATTTATTCAGTTTTATAACATACCACGTCTGCCACCACCCTCAGGTTAAACAAAAAATAGTTGCCGAAATCGACCCAATATTTCCTCCAAATACTCCTTTCAATTTGAAATATGAAGACCTCTTAAAATTGGAGTATTGTGACGCGATTATTAATGAAGCTCGTAGAATTTCATCGGTTGCAACTGATATCCCAATATATGTTGAAGGCCTTGCGAATTAGCCGGATATCAATGGGAAGCTGGAACAGTTTTCCATGTGAATATTTTTGGCATTCACACTCATAAAGATTCTTGGCATAATCCTTGACCCGTATCGATTTTATAAAAAAAGTAATATCAACAATCTGAACAATAAAATAAGGCCTAAATTTTCGTCAATACCATTTGGTGGTGGATCACATATCCTGGAAGAAAGCTTGCAACTATAGAATTACTTTCATTAATGGTAATGGTATTTGGAAAGTATGATGTTGAGTTAATTGATATGGAAACGCCGTTAAAAATGGAAACTGGTTTTGTATCTCTTTGTAAGAAATTGCCAATTAGAATTAGGTCTAGAAATTTTCTATCATAGTTTCTATTCTATTGTAATTATTTATTTATTATAAAGCTTTCTTCATGTTTCTTTTTTTACTTTATTGCTAACCAATAAAATTATAAAAATTATAATATTTGTCAGAAATCGGAATTGGAGACATACAGTAATTTTGTTTTTAACATTTACTACAGGAAACAAGATCAGATATAATTTGAGAACTAAAAAAAAATTTTCGAAAAGCTCAAATTTTCGCCAAGAAACTAATTTCTATGCATTACATGTACAGTATGGATAATCTCAACCAACAGAAACTTAGTAAATTCATTAGCGTTTGTAATTGCAGAAGATAGGTTATGCGAGCTTCCCAAAAAAGTAATCAAACCTCAAAACTGAGGCACTTCCTTCGAAGGCAAACACATTAGTATTTACTGTATTATCATTACTAGCTATCATAGCCATATACAAGCTGCATACTATGACTATTGAGAAATGTAAGCCCAGTAGTAATAAACTAACTATTAATTGGTACGGCTGCGTACACTATACATGAGGTAAAAACTATTGCAGCACCTCTGAAATTATTTATGCATTTATTTTTAATACGAAGTTTTCAAAAACAATAAATATAAATTAATATACTGTATACCAGGTAGTGTTGCTTGCTGCAAATATGAAGTGCAACTTTTTTATAGCGCGACTAGGGTTGCAACCTATTGTCGCAATAGAATGTGACATCGGTAATATACAGTAGTATTTATGACTTATCTTGTAATAATTACAGCATAAATAAGCTGTAAAAATTAAGTTGCGCCTTTGCAGTAGCAAGCAACACTAATACCAGGAACGGAGTGCAATGAGGCGTATGGGTTACAGCAAGTTAAATGCAGTGTCTCATTTGCAACTAACTGGATGATCTGTCTTCATGACTTCATCTTATTTCCCATATTTGTGCGCTATATAATCCAAAAAAATTTGTTTACAATATTAATATGTTAAATTCCCCGTATTGTCAATGACTTTACTATTAATCACTGTGGCTTTATATCGAGTTGTAACTTGTTATATTCATGGTTCTACTTGTATTGTCGATATTTTTTTTATTTTATTCCAGCATTTTGTTAAGCCATCCAGTTTGTTGGCTTGATTTGTATTTGCACAATGTGAGCTTGTCGTTATAATAATTTACTCAATTGATGAATCTTTCGTCAAGAGAAGCAAGCACCTTAAAATCACAATTGGATAACGGTCAGGTGCTTATATCGATGAAATGCAATCTGGATCGCATTTCACCAACACAATCACCTGACTAGTCGAGATTTCAATAATAATAATAATAATAACAATAATAATAAATTGATTGCTTAAAGGATTTTTAACAATCAAAACGCGAATGAAATTGGATAATGCAACAAAATAACCACTAGTAAATTATAATGCGATACTCGGATCTAATCGGATGATTGATCCTCGGAACTTCAACTTATTATTTCCATATTTGTGTGCAGTATACCAGGAGCAGAGTGCAATGAAGTGTATGGTTTACTAGCAATTTAAAGTGTTGCATCTTTTCGCATTTGATGGATAATCCATTCACATAACTTTATCAAGAAATTTCTATATTTATACACTAAAATACTTTTCAATGCAATAAAAAAAAAAAAAATGCAAGTTGGACGTTGCGTGATCAAAGGATTGTTCTATACTATTCTAATAACATGTTAGGTTTCTTTGTCCGGTCATCGATCTAAAAAAATAAAGCTTACTAATTATTATTGTGACTTTTAAACCTGTGATACATACGTGACCTTTATCCTCATTTTTTTACCTGTTTTTTATTCACGGTTCTGCATGTACTGTTGATTTGTGAATTATGTATCGGTATATCGTATTTAAAAATTATTCATAATGGCGTGGACTTTCCATCTTGTTGAACTGATTTCATTTTCACTTGATTTGATAAATAAGGCTTGTCGTTATAATGGTTTCCTCTATTAACAGTTAAATCGTAAAATTATTATCAAGTTGAGCTGATCTAAAATACGTAATAATAATAATTACAATAATGTTATAATAAACGTTACAATATATTTGTGAATATTTTTCCACATCTCGACGTAAAACATCTGAGCTAAAAATATTTAATGAATAAAAACCTGTTTTGTTCATAGTTCAACCTGTATTGTCGACTGGTGAAATATATTGTATAAATTTTCTTATTGTAAAATTTATACCAGCGCGGACTTTCCATATACGATAAACGGAGTGCAACGAAAAGTATGATTTACTAACAAGTTATCCTTCCTTGAAACTTATATATGGCATGTGTACAAAGATCGTGCACCGGACAATCATGTGATAGTCCGGGCAATTACTTATTAAGAAAAGTGACAAATTCAATTTAATTTCGGCAATACTTTTAATGTACAGAACTCTTACAACGAATCTCTATAACGAACTCTGGATTTACATTTGAAATCATCAGCACGTTATAGAAAAGTCGACCGTAATTGAAGTTCTTCATTTTTTGTGTATACTCAACGACTTTCATGTTTTTAGACATTTTATACTTTCTTTATTTTACGTATCAATTCAATATTTTGCATGTTTTCTTATATCGAATTATTATGCATCAGTAGGTCATTTGGATTTGGGTACAGGATATCGAAAGTTTTAGGATTGTAGTCATGTACCGTTGCTCAAGATCCTCATTAAGTTCGTCACAGGTAAGTATTTTCTTCAGGTCAAACAAAAAGAGTTGCTACTTTATTAATTCAAGCAATTTTGGATGATTTTTACCCACACAACGGGCACAACTTTTCAGGTGCTTATATGAGTGCTACCAAGGGAAAACTGTCATCGGGTTTTCAATTATATTTTGTGTTCAGTTTGTTTCCAGAGTGCCGTCTAAAGAAAATCTATCATCGGGCTTTAATTATACTTGTACAAATATAATTGATTAAACCCGATGATAGATTTTCCCAAGATGGCGTTCTGGGAACATGCTGGACAAGAAATATAATTGAAAGCCCGATGACAGATATGCACAATAATAATCAGAATTGCATTATAATTTTATAATTAAGATTATACACAAAAATGGCTGTAGAAAAAATTGTAACTTGTTACTATGTATAATCCAATCAATTTTAAGATTGTCTTCAGTTTATTCTTCAATAAAACAATGCATTTACGCTCTGGTACCACATAACCTAAATATATTTGATACACAACTACATATCACACATAACCAGATTTTTAATATACTGAATCTAGCAAATAATAAATGTCGCGGATGATCGTGAAATCCGGATCTTCCAATTTTTAAAATTTTTTGGGTATATTTTTTTAGGCTTTTTTTTTGAATCCGGACTAGTATTTAGGGCTAGGGTTTATAATAAAAGAGTATAAGTAGGTTTTGTTAGGGTTGTGGTCGGGAATGCTGGGAGAGTTAGAAATTGGTCGGTGAGTGAGGGCTTATATTTTTAAATTAAGGCCCTAGATTTCACGATGATCCGATTTCACCATCATCCGCGACAATAAATACTTGAAAGTCCAAAGTTTTGTTTACCCCCGATAGCAAATGAACAAACATTCCACATGCTTAAAATATAAACTTTATTTGCATGATCTATATATAATATTCTGTTTTGGACCAAAAATATTTAAATTCCATACTTAATAATATAACCTCAATTCTCACATTATTTTTGATATCTGATGCTAAATTTATTTGAGCATAATAATAGCAATTGTTATTATTAAATCGTTGTTTATTAAATTGAAATTTTGTAAATAAAATAGCATAATGGTAAATAGACAGCAATACATTGATGAAAATTATCCTGTCACAAGTCGTGGCAATATTACTGAATTGGATCTAAGTAATAAAAATCTAGAAGGGACTATAACATTTAATAATAGTGGATTTATTAATCTTCTTAAACTAAATCTTTCTTTTAATATGATAACTAATATTCATTATGGATTACCTTCTATTCTACAAATTGATGTTTCTCACAATTTTCTCAGTAATACTCGTTCATATTCTTCTTCCACTATACAAAAGCTAAACTGCTCATTTAATAAGATAACTTTTATAATCTCGATGCACCTAATCTTACTCATTTTGATTGTAGTAATAACTTAGTATCTACATTAGATATCTCAAGTAATGCTTGGAAGAATTAATTTGTTCACATAATCCCATAACTTTGGTACCTTTGAACATTACTTCTAAACTTACATCCTTTGACTGTGTGGGAATTCAATTTAATAAAACAAGCACTATTTTAACTTCTTCAACAATTAGCCCCACAACTCCTAATCCTTTTAATACATCTCCTAATTCTTTTAACAACTTTAATTTAATGGTAGGTCTTGGTGTTTTTTCAATTTTAAGCATTTTAGGGTGGATAACTTTAGGCATAGTTTTTATTTATAAACGCAAACATAAAAACATAATTCTAATTCCTGGTAATCGATAATTGGCCTGAAGCGGAGTATAAGACATTTTTACTCTTCTAAATTTGGCTGATGTTCAGCACCCACCCCTGTAATTATGATAAATCTCGATTTTAATCTATCCCATGTAGAATTTAATTAATTAAAAAAAATAAAATTACGTAATAATATTAATATATATAAGAAAGTAAATTAATTTAACATTGATTTATAATTTATTGCATTGAATAAAAACATCAATTAGTAATTTATTGTATCGAGTAAAATGAATAACGTAAAAGAGTATATGAACCTGAACAAAAGGCTGCAAAACATAATACTAGAAGAAATATATTAGCTTCTGACACCTGAAGAACAGTTATATTATCTAAATAATGAGTCAAGAAAAAGACAAGATCGGCGCAAACGTTAAAATAATATTGAAGACCCAAATGATAAACGTAATATTTTATATTTGTTAGAATCACAGATAATAAATTACAGGTCCATTGTTTAAATAATTTATTGACGTTTATTTTCGTAAGGAAAATTTTACTCTTAGTTTTTTATATAATCTTTGATATTACTTTCATTATCATAAAATAAACGAAACAAGTTTTTAATATATTCGTTAAAAAATTCATTATAAAGAATAAACTGTTGACCAATTAAAAACTCTTATTATTAGTCAGTTAAACGAAGCTCAAAATTTTTATTAAAGTTATCTAGCCTGCATATTTGCATTCATCTGATGGAACGTTACCATCTGTCGGAATAGTCATTTGAAGGTGTCCTTCCCTTGTTTCACGTAGTGCTAATATTTTATCCCTATGTTCTTCAGACATAACACCAGTACACCCATCTACAGGTTTATTTACTGCATGAGATCCAAATGCCCACCATGTGGAAGCAGAATAGACTTCAGCTGCTATAATAGGTGTATAAAAACTAAGTAATATAATAATAATACCTACAGTATCACATGAATCAATACTTGTACAATTAAAACTAATCTAATTAACTTATTATCATTGAACTGATTAATATTGGTAGTAAGTGTGCCTTCAATGGCTTTGGTAGTGCCAAATCCAGTATTAATAAGATAATGACCTTTTCGCAATAATGATTTAATTTGCATGGCAAGAAATTCAGGTGAAAAATTCCCATCAGTATTATTGCCAAGAAATTCGTCAAACGGACTCCGGTAAAGTTGAGATACAACCATTGACAAATGTTGTAAAGATAGGATAGTATAATCAGCTATTTCTAGTTGTCCTTTGTTAGGCATCACAGTTGTAGTAGTTGTAACAGTTGAATTTTTACGTGAAAAATACATATATACGTCTCCTTGTTATTGTGTATATTTCACATCGCATAAAGTCCTATTTAGCTGATTTCTAATAGTAGCAATCGCTGGAAAAACGATCTTACCTGTACCATTTCCATAGGAAAATGTTGCCATACCAACTACATTATTAGCAGCAACAGAATAGAATACCAATTTATCAGGAAATTTAGTATCATTGGCTATCACATAGAATATACCAGGAATACCATTTGCAATTACTTTCTGCCCGAATGTTTGATTTGATTCTATTGAACAATCGACGGTATAATCGAATAAAGGAACATTTGAATAAGTAGCAGTGGCATTAATCGTTCCATTCATTATCTCCACTATAGTAGGTACAGGCTGTCGATCCGAGAAAACCATCCCCCCGTATTCTCTCATACCAGTATCATTTGCCACTTGACTGTTAGCTAAGTAGTCCACCATGCCTTCAGGGGTTAATCCAAATGGACACGTATTTAATTTCCGAACTAGAGTACCTAGACTGTATGAGCTGCAGTTGTTCTGAAATTGTAAAGAAGGTTCTAATCCCAAACCTCCACTTGCAGGACTGACCTTTGCATGTGCAAATGTGTCTGTTATTAATTGTCCTTTATGAATTGTAAATGCAGTATTATGTAGAGCAGTGACAGCACCACCAAGTACAATTATCATAATGGAAGTAATCCAAGCCATTTTACTTAGTTTCAAACTTGAGGGATCTAATGATTGAGATAGATGTGTGTCTAGTTCAATTATCCTGAATGAATGTGCAACACGCCATCGCAAATATGTTTCTTTGATACTTAGGATTACTCTCGTTGCAGCCAATATGCAAATTGTACTCATTGCCAGCAATCCGTACTGCCAAATTTGGAGCATGAATCCATCAGCCTGTCGAAATCCATATAATTGATCTGAGAAACCACCTTGTGCAGCGTTATATAATAGTATTAGTGGTGTAATACCTACAGCAGCTGTCAACAGTTCTAGACATAATCTGATAATTTTCTCATTTTTACTCATACAGTAACGTCTCAATTTTTTCTCCACAGTTAACGAATTTTGACTTTCGCTAAAATCAGTACCTTCTTTACTATTAAGTTTCAACATCTCTACTATTTTTACAAAAAAATTTTTGATAAGATTTAAATAATATTATATGTACAATAGCGAGTTAATTATATCAGTGGTAAATTCAAATATATACTATAAAAAGAATTGAGTTGATAAAGATAAAGGAAAAATCCTTATTTATTTTTTTTAAAACCATTAAAACTGTACGAGTTTTTATACCATAATGGCCTTATACCAGGAACGAAGTTTATGATTTACAGGCAAATAACTGTGTTCGAACTTTCGAATTCTATTGGGCAACGTGATCGTTGCATGTGTATACTGTTTGGGTTATTAGATTATTCAAGTTCTGGTTAAATTGGACAGTTTATCCTTGCTCTCATAATCTAGATCGAATCGGTTTATCTTCCTTATCCGTGGCTTTTTACCGTTTCAGTTAAATGAACGTACCGGTAAGGATCTTACATCTGAATTAGTATGTTATTTGATATTAATATAAAGGAATAATACGCTTAAGAATTTGTATTATAAAATATTACATAAATTTATCAAGCTTAATGTTATATAAAGATAAATCATTATGTTGGTTTTCTGGCTAAATTCTTGTAGCTGTGTGTAGCGGTAGCTTTTAGATTTGACGAATATCTGTTATACTTACTATTTACAGCGATCAACTTAAGGATATCGTATGATTTTTAAAATTTTTAGCGAAATCTGCTGACATTCCATGATTTTACATGATACGATGACCTGAGATAACTACCATACGCAATTTTGTAAATCATACCGGCTGTGTGTTAATACCATTGGCAATCAATTTGTAGTGTTATTTATTGTCGCAGATAATGCTGAAAACGGATGATGCTTAAAAAGGTAGTTTTCTGTAAATTACATCCGAATTTACCCTTACCCATTATACAACCGATCGTTCAATGACAAACCGATCCTTCACTACCTGAAAATACTCGAACACTTCAACAACTAGTGATAATGCTTCCTTTTACAGCTTGGCGTAGCTGTTCTTTGAATATTTATTGCGTATTTATCTCATATAGAGGACAAAAAACTATTTATTCCTTACATCACTTAATAGCAGAAGTTTGTGTAATGGTTTAACGACTTTCATTTTTTTTAGACACTTTATACTTTATTTACTTTTATCAATTCAATATTTTACATGTTTTCTTATATTTTATTCGTATCGCTAAAGCTTTGTGCCGTAGAACTTCACTAATAATGAAACAACTGATTTTTGGATCTTTTTCTAAAAAAAATAATTTTTAATTGGGTCATTTCATGTGTGCCATAATTTTTAATCTTTCTAAGTATCGATTGACCATTTAAAACCTTTGTGTTAATATACACATATAAATTCGTGTTTATTGTTAATTATTAGTTTAAGTTCAAAATAATTTTTTATATAGAATTTGCGTTATAAATTGGTAAATCAGCGAAATTTGTTCTTTTTTTATCTTTTTGTCTTCAATATAAAATAAACAAAAATATAAACAAAATAAATAAAAGGCAAAAAATCGACTTTATAATATATAAATCATTAGTGTTATCACTTTTATTGTCATCATAATCATTTCTGATATATTTAGGATTTTATCCCCTAATCAATCTCATCTATTTACTTATTTTTACTAGACATCTATTTAATTTAAGTAATTTAGTATTATTCTATTTAATCTTAAATGTCAAAAACAATGCATAAAATAAAAGTTCCGCTTTAAAATAAGTACACGAAAGTTATGTTACATAGATATGTAGTTGGATATAACTGATAAGCGAAATTTGCGTAAAATATAATCAGCCACTTACGCGGCCGATTATACTTAATGCGAAATTCCACTTATACCCAACTGCTTAGGATATAACTAAATCATCTTTCCTATCTTTACATTGTTCATACCTTTTTAAAAACAGCTGCAATTTTATTTGTTTTCGAACTTTGAGCAAAGATATCGATTATTAATCTGTAGAATTTGGACAAAAATAAACAGGTATAGAAACTGAACATTCTATTGTTTTATCAACTAAATGACATCATAATGAGTGATCATTTAATAATCACAGTAATTTGAAAAGCGCAGTAATAAATATTCTTTGTGATTGATCTAAAAATAAACACATGATAGTTTCATCGTTAAGCTTGTATTAAATCACAAAAAAATAAAATAAATAATATCCAATAATACTTAAAGTATGAAAAAATCCTACAAAAAAATTTCTTATGAAAAATTGCACACACAAAATCTTTTTTAAAAAATCAATAGTCATCAGGAACATCTAGAAGATCAATTTTCTTGCTGGATAAAGTCATTTTGGATAACTTTTCTGTAATTTCACGCGTGTTGATGAATTTGCTTCCATCTTTAAACATATTCTTATAGTAATACTTTTAAATTCTGTAACTTAACTTTTTATTGTCAATATATCTCTTGCATGTCTAAAACAAACCCTCTGAGAACATCTGATTCAACCTGATCAGGTTTCACCAATGATCTCCAAATCGTTCTATTAGTATCAGGATTAAATGTATAGATTCTAACCTCGGGTGAATTGTAATTAAGTCTATGGAGACTCCCTCCTGGATAAACATTATAATAGTAATTAACCAAAAAAATATAATTAATAAACAATTATCAATTATCATTAATTTTCTTACGTCTACACCTGCGTTCGCCTAATGTATCATTTTTTGATGAAGAGATTGGGGGAATTGCTTGACGAACGCAACTCAATAATGAAATTTGGGGCAACTGGGGAGAATGATACTTTTTAGGCTTCATTGGTAAAGAATCCTATCTGCAATAATGGAAAATATAAATTAACGATTTTAAAAAATGAAAACTATCTTTATATTTAATAACTTTCAAAAACCTTGCTTTGAGGATGACGGCAGCATCGGTAGATAGAATAGTGGGTTTATCGGGAGAATCAGGATTTTCCAGCCTAAGCAATCTGAAGGTACTCTAAATTAAAATGATTGGAGTATTAACAACATAAAGAATAATTACCATGTTTTTTTTCATAATATACCTGCCAAGTACCACAGAGCCTAACTAAACTTTCATTGGCATCGTACCACTTGTAAACCTGGCCAATAATTTCGAATTTATTGTTATCTAATAATAATTTTTCATCATCATTCGGGAATATCTATTGACATTCAAACTCAACATATCGGCGTGTTTGGTTCAAACCCAAAATCAACCAATCATGATTGAGAATTATCATATATTTAAAATTTATTACAAGACAAATTTTCATAAGAACAACCTTTTTAACCAACCTTATGTTCATAAATAAATATATAAAAAATTATGATATCTATATATTTAATTATAAGCCAAAAGTAAGTTAAAAAGGTCAATTTTTTGAAACTTCGCTTCCACCAACCTATCGTAAACATTATAAACCCATTGTTCTCATCCTAAAACCCCGAGTATTTCAACAAACAGTAAAAATATTTCTTTCTACAGCTTAGTGTAGATGTTTTATTGATATTTATTTTTTTTTATCTTGTCTAGTGGCCTTTTTATTAGTTACGACAAGTGCTTTGTTTCGTTACTTTCTCAACGTTACTCAATAGCAAAATTTTGTGTAATGGTTTATCCTAAAAATCAAACACACCGATATGATATAATACACAAAGCATAACATACCGGTTTTATAGTGAACTGGCAATGGTGGCATAATGATCTCAAGTTGTCCTTCAATGAGATTCATTCGAAGAAAGCGGAAATTTGAGGATGCAATTTTTTCAAACCGTTTTAGATCACAGTCAGGAATAATGATATTTGGAATATCATGGGTGAAACCCGATCAGGTTGAATCAGAAGTTCTCAGAGGGTTTGTTTTAAACATGCAAAATATATACAGAA